GACAGACAAGGTGTTCCTTATGGCCATTTTCATCTCAAAAATATAAAATGAGCGGAACACAAAATGTCAAAATTGGTAATATGCAGCTTACGACTGTTTGAAGCGGATCGAAAATGGAACTGAATTTCACCTGAACTTCAATCCAAGTTTTTCTGTGACGTCCTAGTCGAATCGTACGTTATTTATGCCCATATATCATCAAACATATTAACTGCAACAAATTGAAATGACGTAAGCTGTATATTGCTTTTATGTTTCTTGAATAATTTATATCTTGTTATTCTGGTTTAATGGGAAGATAGTTTATCATTCACTATAAATAGCTATGGAATATTTTCCCTTTTTTCTTTTATATTTTCAATACATGTAATCAACAGGAATTAAACAAAATGGTTTTTATAAAGTTTAAATTTTGTTTCCTTAAGACGCCCATACAAATTTGGACAGATGCGTTAAAGACCAATTAAAATACCTCATATATCAATACATAGGATAATATTATATTTTTGTACTTTTAGCCACTTCGTATTTAACATTTTGGACCCATTAGAATTATTAAAATGCCTTTTTGAATAAACGCAGTACAGTTAAGGTGCGCAATGGAAATATCGTCTAAATTTTGTATTTAAAAATGTATTCGTAATCGGGATGGCGATTATTTTTAGTACATTATTTATATCGGATAATTGTGATTATGGTTAATAACTACATATCGAGGACGATTATATTTTATATTTAGACTAGTCACGTGATGCGGCAGTCACGCGATTTTAGCACATTGACTTGAAGTATTGATGTTACATAAAAATATCACTAGTGCAAGGGCATAACCAAGTTAAATTACCAAGTTTAGCATATAAATATTTTCAACACGCATTGTAGTTTCTAGAAAATGCTGCGATCCTGTCTAAATTCTGCAATTTCATTGTTAAAATTAAACTTGTATGACCGAATGCTATATTTTTTGCTGGTCAGCGGCATGAAATATTGATATAATTAAATTGTTTTTAAGATTTTATCAGGATTGCAGCACTTTTCAGATACCTTAATAGTTCTATAGTTGAAATGTAAAAGCTTACTTTGATCCATGGAGTGTATGCCCTTGCACTAGATCGATTTATTAAGACCCCCCTCATTACCCTTCGATGTACTTGCATACAATTATACGGCAGTGTCAATTAAGTACGTAATGTACAGAAAATATATTAATAAAATAGTGAAGAAGACATTAAATTCAAGTTATTGGCCCATAGAATATCTGTAAATAATATTTTATTTAATTAGAGAATACATATTTTGTTGAGAAAATATTACTTGATCTGTCTCTCACTGCATACAAACTACGTCACGTTGTAAGAAATGACGTCATATTGACAAGTGTATTGCGATCAGTGATTTGTTTATAACTTGTTATGTGGGATTTAACTAACGACAAAACAACACGCTGTAGTAAGTTTTTATGTAGTTTGATGATTTCATACTGGTTAAATTAGCAGATAAACTCATTTTGTAGTATTTTAAAGAATGTTATATGACGTACATTGTGTATGATGTCATAGTCAAGTTTTCCCGTACAAATTAGGCTCCGCCTTCTTTTTGTAACCTTAACTGTGCTGCGAATTCCATGACGCTTAAATCATGGCAATATCCTATATGCCTGCTCAATCAATTGCGCAACCGTTTTCTCTACATAAAAGCATATGTTTACAACAGATTTTGATTCAGGACGTTGACGCTTATTAAATATTTTGTTCCATTGAGTGTATGCCATCTCACAGATTACCTTGATTTATTTTGAGTGTATTCTCATGGAAAAAAGGAGGAAAAAATTTAAACTCATTAGTCTGAAAAAACTCAACTGACTCGGTTTTTTGAAGCTCTTATGCGGGTGAGCGTCACTTTGTGTTAATTTCTTCTTAACAACTTGTAAACTTATTTAGAAAGCACACTTTAAGTTAGATTCAAACTCCTAGATCTCGCTAGTGCTTCGACAAATAAATCGTCAAATTGATTCATATATTTAAAGCATTATAAAAGTGTATAAATGTTGATAAAACATTGAAAAAAAAAATTGAATTCATGAATTTGAATAAAAAATGGATAAGACAGTAGAGAAACTCTAGTACTTTCTAATAAACAGGGCAGTTTCAGCGATAAACCTAAACCAAAGCATATTAGATGTAATCTAACAATTTGATAGAACAAATTAATATTCATAATAATCAATAAGTATCAATTATACAATTGAGACACTTCACGCACTTAAAAAAATATGTATAAAACAAAAATTCTGGACTGAGATTTTAGTAATGGAAAGCATTGATTTGTTATTTATCTTTCGAAAATTTTATGGGTTGATTTACCCCCGTCCAAAAGAGGAGAAAATGGGTAGATCTCTCAGCCAAACTCTTTATCCTTCCGATACTTACATGTAGGCGTCGTTGGCAAATCAAATGGGTGAGGGAAGTAATAAACCCACAAACGGTTAGTCGCATTTTTAATGTCTATATGATATATGAGGGACTAAGCCCCCTTCTCCTTGCCCTTCTCCCGGTTTCAATGCCTATGCTATACCCAAAACATGTAAATGTATTTCCATAACTGGTATGACGTTGAAACTTTCAACAAACTAGAAATTTTTAAGTCGTTCACTTTTAGCCCCAACCCACTCTCCAACATGTACCGAACTAATTACAGACTAGAAATTTTGAAAAGACACGAAATTACATAAATGTATGACATTAAACAATCATTTCTCCATTTTTTTTAAAAGACCAATTTCCACTTGATTAACATTCAAAATTTAAAATATTCAAAACGCGAAGGTCTCAGGTTCTGAAGTGACCTTGACACCAAATGTTTATCCAACCAGGATCAATCATTTATCATACCGAAAATTTGTAAGAATATTAATCAAGCTATACACATTTTTGTTAAAAAAAAAATTCATTTTTTCAAAGTGCATGAGCTTGATACCAAATTTAACTGACTTCACTTCACAGGCACTAGCAACAGGAGGGGGAGGAGGACTGGCCCACACTGTTTTTCCAACAAACATTTTTACTATTGAAAATGTTCATTGATAGGCTGGCTGGTCCCCTCATATTTTAGTACAGAAAGTTGATATCAGGGGAATGTAGTATTGAATGCCAAAACATTGGTACTGAAAGAAGTTGGCATTGAAAAAAGTTGGCCCCTTAACCCCCCACCCCCAACCCCCTCCCCCGAATTACGATTCTCGAGTTTGGGCAATTTTCTTTTTTGTTTTTGCTTGTCAACTTTTTCAGATAAGTCAAAAAAATTTCTCTGGCTGCCCCCCCCCCACCCCTGCTTTGAAAAACGATGCTACGTGGCTGCTTTGCAAACGCCCTAACAACAGTGCCATGCGAGCGATTGTGCAATTCCTTAACATGATCACTATTGGTCGCTTTCTCTAACTGAGTGGCATTTCTTAAAATCATAATATTGTACAAGCAATGAATGTCGAATAAACATGCTTTCATTATATGGATGAAAGACACTCCATTTTTAAAAATAGACAAGGTAGGCTAAGATTCCTTTTGGGCCCTTGTCTTTGGGTTTCTTTTAGAAAGATGCAACAGTTTATCAATAAAAACCAGTTGTCATCCCCACCACAAAATGAGTATTGGTTTTAAGTTTTGAAATACACAGATGTTACAAAGTGGTCAGAAAGTAGGTCATTTTTTTTTTTAATTTTTTGCAAATTACCATCGATTTTTCAGCACATTTTGTTTCAAAAAACATAGAGCACATGCTTGCTTATCTACAAAATTCATATATGCCATACACTACTATCACATGCTGTTTATGGGTGAAAATCACTTATAGGTAAGGTGGCTTGTGCTAGTATTGCAAGTATCGCAAATATGATGAAATGTACCAGAATTGAGGAAATTTGGGAAAATATCCCATTTCTGCATCCTCTTGTGACCTTCATGTAAGCTGTGAATACAAATAAGTGCATGTGCTGGTTTTAAAGCAAGCATCAGTTTAGATTCTTAATTACAAACTATCACAATTTTACCAGTGTTCTGATTTTTACATCAAATAAGGGGAAAGATTCAGCCGTTGCCCTTTACGTAACTACAAAGCTTGTAGTATATGACAAATTCTTTTTCGTTAGTTGTTAAGGTAGTCCGATCCTAAGGTTTATAAAATTAGCAGTTAAGTAATCAAAACTACTCATAAAAGTATCTCTGAATCCACAAAATTACGTAAATTTATCCACAGTATTTCTTTAAAGTTAAAGATTAAAGTTAATCATGTTATATAGGAAAAATTATCAGATCTTCAATATTTTTGAATAAAAAGCGAATTGGAATATCAGCAATGTATTTTCTAATTTGCAAATTGATCAACAAATATTTTATAGCTTAAAAAACGATCGGTATTCAGAGAAATTGTCATGATTTTCATATTTATTTAGTATTTTTTGTCTTCTATTTCCGTCATGTATTCTATAAAACATAGTGAAGAATGCTTTTGCTATCATTGCAAAACACCATAGATCACTTCTTATTTCATATCATGCTAATAAGCATTGGTATCTAAGGCTGGATTAAAGAAAATCTTATCTCTCTAAAACTATTAATTTTTTTTCCTTTTATAGGGTACACGTTTCAACTTTTATAAGACCTTTTTTAAGACTTCCAAAAACCTTGAATCTTGTAAAGATAAATAATATGGAAATTGTTGCATGAAAAATATTTCAATTTCAAGTTTCATTTTGATGCATTTCAAATTAATTAATATTTATTTTTGGAGTTATAGTTATCCTTCCTGGCTGAGGATCGGAAAAGTAATTTAATGTATTTAAAAGTTTGGGTTTTTTCCTAGTTTCCGTCCATTATTTACTATATATAAATTACACTTAATTATTGTGTTATTAAAGAAAATTTATTATCAGGTAAATACTTTTTGTACATGTATATGTTTTATTATAAAGAATCAAGATTAACCCACATAAGACAACGAACATATTATAGTAAAGATGCCCTTGCGGCAATATGTTTATTCATAAAAGCATACAACTGCGTTTCGAACATGGTTAACGGAAAAGTAATAAGATATAAATTCCTATATCTTCTTTAAATTGTAATATATTCCGCAATATAGTGAATGATATGAGGACCAGTGTCCATTTTGACTGTTGATTTTATTAAGGGGTGCGTCTCCTTCTGCGGATGGAGCATCTACGCCTTCGTCTACGACAGCACTTCTTTGTTGTGGGTGGTGTTGTCGTTGTTGTTGTCGTTGTCGTCGTTGTCGTCGTTGTTGTCGTCGTTGTTGTCGTTGTTGGTTCATCACCTACAATTGAACAAAAATGAGCAATTGATCTTGCATGTATTTATTAGATGTTACTTTAATAACAAATCACAATTTATCAGCAATATGTTACAAATTCTAAACTTTTTAAGTCAGATAAATGATAAGAAAATTATTATAAAGGTAATGTTTAAAACAATATATCCTAACATTATTATAACTCCATGTAAATGAAAACAATAAAAAAAGAAGAAAAAAAATTACGGATGATAATATAAGTAAAACCTAGCCACGTAGCATCGTTTTTGAAAGTGTGTGTGTGTGTGTGTGGGGGGGGGGGGGGGGGGGGGGGTAGGGCAGCCAGAGAATTTTTTTTTACTTACCTGAAAAAAGTTGACAAGCAAAAAAGGAAAACTTTTTTCAATGCCAACTTCTTTCAGTGCCAAGTTTTTGGCATTCAGTACTACATTTCCCTGATATCAACTTCCTGTACTATAGAGTGAGGGGGCCAACCAGCCTTTCAATGTACATTTTCAATAGTAAAAGTAATGTTTGGAAAAAAAGTGGAGAGGGGGGGCAGGCCCCCTTTGGCCCCCCTGTTGCTACGTGTCTGAAACATGGAGAACACCAAAGAGATACTGTATAAACAGGACAACACGAAGTTTTTAACAACCGAAAAAAACTGAGAGATTAAAAATTTTAATCACAATAAATAGGTATTTATTGAATTAAGTATTGTAGGCCACCGGCCCAAAGTATATTCATATTTTACAATGTTATATTTACAATGTTAGATCAGGCTTACCAGGTATACAATATGGAAACATATAGACTATACTTATAAATTATCACATATTAAATTCTCAATGAACTTTTCCCTCTCTTTAAAAGCTAAAAAGGTAAATTTTGCGACATAATTTAACACTGCATCATTTCCATATATTAGCATATTCACAGTGTTTTTATAAAATCTTAAGTGTTTCAAAATATTACAGTTTACTCTAATATCCATATATAACTTTTTCTACAAAGTGCTTTTCATTTTCAATACAATTTTTATTTGCTATTTGACAGAAGAGACAAAATCTATTTTCTCTAGGAATACCTTTAAATCGACCATGTTCAATTTCCAAACAATGACTAGAGGTTCTTAATTTACAAAGTGATTCTCTAAAAGATACATTGTTTATGACATCTAGATACCTTTCCGGTTCAAAAAGAATTTTGAATTTACAATAAAAATCCAGTTTACTATATATAAGAGCTCAATGAAGAGTGTCATTCTTGCATATAGTTATCCTGAACTCTTTGTACAAACTCTTTTAAAAATAATACATTATCCCCTACACCTTGATAAAGCCATACATAGTAGAATCCATATCTACATAACATTGACTTCACTTCTGACGCCCAGTTACCTCTAATTCTACCTACATTATTTAACTGAAGTAAAAATAAGTAACATCTTTTTGGATATCTATCATCTTCCATACAAAGTATCTTTAACCAATATGTAATAAATTTCTTAAAGTACTTTACCATTAGAGGATATCTCCCTAGTTCTCCTAGTACAACTATTTCAGGTGTATTGTTCTTGAGTCTTAAAACTCTTCTACAAAACTTTGTATGTATAGATTTGATACATTTCGATAACTCATACCCCCATATTTCAGCACCATAAGTCAAAATAGGTACAATCATTCTATCAAAAATGCAAAAGATTTGTTTATATGATGCACTGTACATCTTCATAAATTTATATACAATAAACAATGCTTTTTCTGCTGACACACACAGAGACTTCTTCGTCAGTTCCCATGACATTGTACTTGTAAAATATAACCCTAGATATTTGTAAAATGATACAATTTCAATTTCTCTTCCATCAAAAAACCATTTCTCTGAACGTTTTGTTATACCCCTACGTCTAAACACCATGATCTTTGATTTTTGTAAATTAATTTTCATGCCATATTTGTAGCAACATTTTTCAAAGGCTTTAATTTGATTTTGTAAGTTAATAACAGTATCCGCAAAGTTAACTACATCATCAGCAAAAAGTAACTGCATAATATTAGGATATGTCTCATCAATGTATATGCCTTTACATTCTATTGATTCTAATAATTCTGTTAGTTCCCTTATAAACATGATAAATAATAAAGGACTTAACATGCAACCCTGTCTTGTACCTATATTACATTGAAAAAAGTCTGAAATAAGATTTTGATTTCTAATACATGAAGTTAATTGGGAATACATTGACTTTAAAAGCATAAAATATTTGTACTGACTCCTTTCTTGAATAGTGTATACAATAAAATATTATGTTGAACACAATCAAAAGCTTTTGAAAAATCTATAAACATGCAATACATTCTACCTTTGCTTTTACTAATATAATTATATACACTTGCTTGAAGAACAAAGCAATTATCAATAGTAGAACGTGTCTGTCTAAAACCAGACCGTTGTTCAAACAATACTCCTTCAAATTCTGCCCAACAAGTTAATCTGTTATTCAAAATTTTAGTAAAAATTTTACTGATGACATTCAGTAATGATATTCCTCTATAATTTTCTGTTATATTCTTATCTCCACTCTTGTACATAGGGCATATAATAGCTTTACCCCATTCACTTGGAAAAATACCTGTTTCTAATATAATGTTAAATAATTTTACACTTATCGAAATTGGGTTTGCTGGTTCATCTTTCTTTCTCTTAAGGTTTTCCCGTGCCGCTTCCAGGACTTGTTGTCTGTTTTTCCATCTACCAAATTTTACGATGATACCTCTTGTTTTTGTACTATTTCTTTGTTTTCTTCCAAGCCTATGAGCTCTCTCTATGACCATTTTGTCCTCATCATCTGCACTCTGAATACCAAGGGTATCTTTAAACACTTGTCTTACTTTTTCTTCACAATCAAACCATGATTCCCATTCCTCCTGGTCTTCATCTATCCCCCATACGATCAGATTATTCCTTCTACTTTGATCTTCAAGCCGCCTCACTTTGGCTTTGAGTGTTCCGTTTTCTTCTTCAAGCTTTTTTATTAGCTCACCTGAGCTGAAAGCTCAAGTGAGCTTTTCTGATCACATTTTGTCCGGCGTCCGTTTGTCTGTCTGTCTGTCTGTCCGTCTGTCTGTAAACTTTTCACATTTTCGACTTCTTCTCAAGAACCGCTGGACCAATTTCAACCAAACGTGCCGCAAAGTATCCTTGGGTAAATGGGATTCAAGTTTGTTCAAATGAAGGGCCACGCCCTCATTCAAGGGGAGATAATTGTGAATTAATGAAAATTTGGTGGCAAATTTTAAAAATCTTCTTTTCAAGAACCACTGTGCCAGGAAAGATGAAACTTATGGGGAAACATCCTCAAGTAGTGTAGATTCAAGTTTGTTCAAACCATGACCCCTGGGGGTAGGGCGGGGCCGAAATGGCGGACCAAACTTTTACATAGAAATATATAGGAAAATTCTTTGAAAATCTTCTTCTCAAGAATGACAAAGCCATTATTCATCATATTTATATTATATTAGATTCAAGTTTGCATTGGCCGACCAAACTTTTACATAGCAATATATAGGAAAATTCTTTAAAAATCTTCTTCTCAAGAATGACAAAGCCATAATTCATCATATTTATATGGAAGCATGTTCAGGTAGTGTAGATTCAAGTTTGATTCAAGTTTGCAATATATAGGAAAATAAAAATCTTCCAAGAATGAAAAAGCCATAATTCATCATATTTATATGGAAGCATGTTCAGGTAGTAAGGTGGGGCCAAAATGGCCGACCAAACTTTTACATAGAAATATATAGGAAAATTCTTTAAAAATCTTCTTCTCAAGAATGACAAAGCCATAATTCATCATATTTATATGGAAGCATGTTCAAGTAGTGTAGATTCAAGTTTGTTCAAATCATGACCCCCGGGGTAGGCGGGGCCAAAATGGCCGACCAAACTTTTACATAGAAATATATAGAATAATTCTTTAAAAATCTTCTTCTCAAGAATGACAAAGCCATAATTCATCATATTTATATGGAAGCATGTTCAGGTAGTGTAGATTCAAGTTTGTTCAAATCATCTTTTACATAGAAAAATATAGGAAAATTCTTTAAAAATCTTCAAATCATGACCCCCGGGGGTAGGGCGGGGCCAAAATGGCCTACCAAACTTTTACATAGAAATATATAGGAAAATTCTTTAAAAATCTTCTTCTCAAGAATGACAAAGCCATAATTCATCATATTTATATGGAAGCATGCTCAGGTAGTGTAGATTCAAGTTTGAATAAATCATGACCCCCAGGGATAGGGCGGGGCCAAAATGGGCATAGCAATATATGGCCAAGAATGAAAAAGCCAAACTTTTACATAGACATACATAGGAAAATTCTATAAAAATCTTCTTCTCAAGAATGACAAAGCCATAATTCATCATATTTATATGGAAGCATGTTCAGGTAGTGTAGATTCAAGTTTGTTCAAATCATCACCCCCTGGGAGTAGGGCGGGGCCAAACTTTTACATAGAAATATATGGAAAATTCTTTAAAAATCTTCTTCTCAAGAATGAAAAAGCCATAATTCATCATATTTATATATGCTCATAGAATAAATATATAGCAAAATTCTTTAGGAAAATTCTTTAAAAATCTTCAAATCATGACCCCCGGGGGTAGGGCGGGGCCAAAATGGCCTACCAAACTTTTACATAGCAATATATAGGAAAATTCTTTAAAAATCTTCTTCTCAAGAATGACAAAGCCATAATTCATCATATTTATATGGAAGCATGTTCAGGTAGTGTAGATTCAAGGTTGTTCAAATCATCACCCCCTGGGAGTAGGGCGGGGCCAAAATGGCCGACCAAACTTTTACATAGAAATATATAGGAAATTTTTTAAAAAATCTTCTTCTCAAGAATGACAAAGCCATAATTCATCATATTTATATGGAAGCATGTTCAGGTAGTGTAGATTCAAGTTTGAATAAATCATGACCCCCAGGGATAGGGCGGGGCCGTAATATGGAATCCAAATTATTACATAGAAATATATAGAAAAATCTTTAAAAATCTTTTTTGAAAAAAAAATATATATATAGCAAAATTCTTTAAAAATCATTTTCTAAAAAATAGCAAATCCATGATTGGTCATTGGACTACTTTTGGATTTAAACTTTACAATAAAAAGCCATTTTCTACTTTTTCCTACCCTTAGTGCTCAGGTGAGCGATGTGGCCCATGGGCCTCTTGTATTACTCTCAAGCCTATCGTTAGTGTCAATCACAATAGACAAGACAGATATCAGAATAAACAGCATCCGATTAAGAGATGATTCTTTGTATCAATATATTTAGAGTTTAAACAAATTAATTGATTGCAAACAAAGAATAAAGTGAGACAGGTTTAAAGTTTTCAACGTAATTACAGGCAAGACAGATATCGAAATACAAAGCATCCGAATATGACACAATTCTTTGTGTTAACAAAATTTAATATAATTGATTGTATATAGAATACTTCTTTAAAAAAAAGGCCCAAAAGTAATTGAAATATCATCATAAAATAGAAATACTTATACTTCACTATTTAAAAACTTTCACATGTCCGAGAATTTTTTATTCATCAAGTATAGATACCAATTATGCATTTTCAAGTTGAAAATGAAGAAGCACTTGTCTATTTATGAAGTAACTAATAAAACTTTTTTAACACTGAATTACTTTGCTAAATTCCTTCTTTTTTCAAAGGAAAATCAATCAATTACTTAAAATATAGATTGAACTTCTGTTTTAGCGATTAAGATTTTTTTAAATCTCAGTCAGGTAAATTAATTAGATATTTGAAAGTTAAATAGTAAAAAACACAGTAAAACACGTTTAAAGCTAACATGCGTATAACAAATTGACGCTTACAGCGAAAGGATTTTCATTCCCCATTATTTTTACAAATATATTGTTAACTTAACAGATATAACGAATTGCGCTTAAGGACAGTTGAAACAAACAAAAAATGAATGCCTGTATTGGTATAATTATATATTTTTAACCTAATTTCATAGCAAATGATGCATATGATAAATTTCTAGAATATAAAGAAAGTCTTAATCTTCTGTGATGTTCAAAATTCTACACTTCTGAAACCATCCTTTAGTTATTATTCTATTTAAATATTTATCTCTTCAAATTCAAATTTTGTGTGACTTTGCATAAAAAAATTTAAAACTACGTGGTGACACTTACTCAATTTATTCACCAAAACATAACCAAAGTTGCTTTTTTCAAAATTTTTGACAAAATATTGTATCAGCTGTCCTTAAAGTAAAACAAAACCGACACTTCGTTATAAACGTGTTTAACTGTGTAATTGCAATTGATACAACGTAAAATCAATTTAAGGAGGCCGGGTGGTTGTGGCCATATTTAGACTATATTGATCTCCTTTAAAGGAAGAGCTCCATATAAAAGTATAATAAAATGATCAAATTTAAAACTAAAATTTATGAAATATTTCTTTGCCAAATGATAGTTGACAGCTTGAGATATCATATCCCAAAATTTCAGTTACACCTGGAAGTTAATAAGAAAATAATTTGTTGACCCCCTAGCCTCCTTAAAACAAAAACACATACCGACAGGAGAAACACTGGCATAAAATCCATGTTTTGGATCCACATTATCACTCTTAAACCTTATGGTAAGACTTTCTCCAGAAGAAGTATACGGTTGATCGGGTGCAGTGGTTCCACAGAGTGTTGCCAATGAGGGAGAACTTGTCGAATCACCTGTATTTACATAAGACTATTTCAAATATGAAAATACAAGTTAAAAATAAAAAGAAGGCGAATATTATTTTACTCCAACATTAATGTATTCATGCTTCTAGATGTCGAATCATGAGACGGAATATTGAAAAGTTGTCTGGTGATTTCGAGGATGAGTGTTATCAATCAGTTCAGAACATAAACTACAGTATTTATTAGTTTTTATATACATGACATGTACGTATGTAGGTTTCAACAGTATTTTTGAATTTCCATGGCCAAGCTTGAAAATGATTTTTATTTCCCCTTGCACAAGAGTTAGGGGGGATATATAACGCAATCCTGATAGTGTTTGTTTTGGAGTTATGTCCCCCTGTTCGAGGTGAAATACTAATGACATAATTTACTTCGGGATCGATATCGAATGCTTCATGGGCCCCGTTTTACCAATCTCTCACCAGAGGGCGTTTTACGCGTCCACTCCAAAGCGGAGCGCGCCCTCTGGTGAGAGATTGCCGTTTTACAAAAGAACGTACGACTAAAACCTCAGCTGATGGTATCATTTTTCAAAATTAATCATTCTGTCTGCTAGTGTAAAAATATCTTACAACATTCCATTTTAAAAGATTAAAATCGATTTCAGTATATGTTAATTAGAAGTTCAATAAATATCTAAATTTTGGTTTTAAGTCCTAAGTTCTTTTGTACAACGCACAGCTGATTTAAAGATAGGCTCTTTGCGCTATATGAATTTCCGCTTTGTCGTGCCCTTGCTTTAGCAATGCATTTACCGTCAAAAATCTCCACAGAATCGAAACAATTCCCGGGGTTATTTGGGTCTTCTTCAACATCAAAGTACTTAAACTGAACAGACACCATTCCTCCTGGATTTGTGTATGTATTTGTGCAATTAAAATTTCTAAAATACATAAATTGTACAGAATGTAGATATTTGTAATTGCAATTGATTACGGAACTTTACATTCAATATAAATAGCAGTAAAATTATTAGTATTCTACATACATTTAAGAAGAAATTTGCCAAGTAATATGTATATTCAGTGTGCCTGAATGAAAATAAAACATTAAGTTGATTCACCTTTGTCATAGAGGCGATTTTGAAATTGACCTAATTCCTATATTTTGTTGGACATGTAGTTTAAGGGAAAACAGCTACCTTTGGGTTTAATTTCGTTAAAGAATTTCAAAGTATATGTAGTTAGATTTTTCAAAATAGCATTTATGTGGTGGTCATCAATAATCGGATCTCTTTATTCCTTGAAATAAAAAAAACTATTAAATTCCAACAAAATTGAATGATTTCACACAAAATTCTTGTGTGATATTATTCCTGACTGAAATATTATTATATTTTTTATGAACAAGTTCGAAAAGAAAATGCTCTTTGGTAAGTGCGGTTCAAATATTGGATTGTTCTGTAGATGTTCAATTTTCGAAAAGTCATCAAAAAGGGAATTAAACACACTATTTCCTATGCCGTAACTGCCTTATGTGCAGAACTTGCATTATATGCTGGTACTTTGTCATTATATGATGGTATTTTGACATTATATGATGATGATATCCAGGCCCAATGTTGTGCGTGTCATGACCGTTACATTTTCAAATTTTCATTACCACTGCCCAATCATTACCGCTAGAGAAAAAGGACACATTAACGCTACCCTAAAAATTATTCATTACCGATACATTGCCTATGTGCTATAAGGCAATATACGCAATACGAAACTGACTGATTTTTCTTGTCTTGAAATGTCCAATAAATCCAATTTGCCTGTTGCAAACGATTTGCAAATTGAAAATACCTTTCTGATACAGTATTCAACAAAACTGGAAGTGAGTTATAGGAATTAAAACTGAAGCGTTTTAGGCTATTAAATTTTGAGCACAAATGGTAACTTAAGTTTGTCATTACAGTGGATACTTAGCAGGAAAGCTTGGAGATGTCAGGGTTGTTTCCGTAGAAATGGTTACTGTGTTGTGTGTCTTGGATGATGGGCAATTGGCTGAAAAAGAAACCGAGAATATTCTGTGGAACAATTTATATAAACGAGAATACGCTATTTACTTATATCTCTATTAACTAAAATTGCAGGCATGTTTACGAAAGTTTTATACGATCATTCATAAGATTAATAAATCCCAAGATTATCGTAAGTTTTTTCAAAGCTATCTTAAGGGTATCTAATACTAAGATGTTTAAATCACTATGACATACAAATACGTTAAGTTTTAAACCATTATCAGAAAACAGATACTAGTCTTTTTTTGCCATGAAATAATTCACGTTATATAAACTATCATATTGAAAATATTTCAAAGAGTGAAAATAAAAATAAAATGAAAGAGATCCATTTGATCATTCCGAATTCTGGAATCATGAAAAGCGTGCCAATGGAGTGCTTATTCATTGATAATTTTTGGTTTGTCAAGAAAACACCATGTCAGGATAAATCGAAAGAGGAGTTCTATTTTTTGCAAATTAAAATCGAAATACTACATAGGTGGAGAAAAAAATCCATCTTATTTTTAAACATTTTTCTATGTACACATGTATATACAAATTCTTCTACCGGTAATTGGAAAAAAAAATAGCTTGAGAGGCAAATAGCACTGGCCACTATTTAAAACGATTGCATCAAATCATAATGCAATAATTATTATTACCTGCAGAGAGATAAGTAATGCATGAGATCTCATGGTAGGACGTTGGAGGTCTTTTTGAAATTCTTCACAGAAATCATTGTTAAAGGCTCTTGAAAGCCTATCATTATTATAGCTTCATCATCAACTAAACAGTACAGCGATTAAGTCGAGCCAACAATGATTTCGGCTCAGTCATTTTTACTTAAAATAGGTCAAAAGCTGTCCTAAATTTAAGATATTTCTTAAGAACTTTCTCAAGTTAAGATACTTTCGTAAACCCCACTTAGTCTACATAAATATTCTAAGTATATCTTAAGACGTTTCTTCGTCCTACGTAGCGCAGTGGTTAGAGCGTCTGCTCTAGAGTCGCGGGTTCAAATCCCACTGTGGGACGTGGAGACCGGTCCTTCAGATGAGAGGTCCCGTGTTGCAGTAGGTGCTGGCACGAAAAAGATCACTCCCTGCTCAATGGCCCTGATTGCGAAGTATAAGACAAAATTTGCAGCTCTCAACCGGTACGTGGTGGCGTCTCAATATGAGTGAAAAATTCTCGAGAGGGACGTTAAATAATATACAATCAATCTCCCTAAGATAGCTTCGTAAGCATGCCTGCTGGTCTACAATAAACTTCACATTGTTACATGACTAGTCTTGTTTGTTCTTATCTCTTAGGAACAGTTGACCTGGAATATTTGTTTATCATTACTTCGAAAATGGATCGTCCTTAAAACCTGAAGTCCTTACTTTTCGTCAAGGTTAGCTAAAACTTCAAATATTCTTGCGTGTATACAGATATGTACTTGTTTTAAAAAGTCATCCTTACATTCGTCTTTTCCCGTTAAAAAGGATACAAGAAATCCGTTCTCATAAGACTTTTGTGTTCCGTCAGACATAAAAAACGCAAAGATATTACTTCCGGTGCTTGTTTGTTTGGGTTTTGCTGAACCACAAGAACTACTACTAGAGCAACAGACACTTGTAGGTGTCAGTGGTGTAGCAGTTGTAGAGGATCCTGTTAATGGGTTAAAATTTCAAGTTACAAATACTAGCCTTAACACAAGTATTGTACAGTAGTTAAGTACATGTACAGTTTACTTAAGTTAACTGTAATTAACTACATGTATATTAAATCGAAGTGTAACAGTTTTCACTATATATGTCGTAAATCAAAGTTTCAAAGTTATCGTTGTAGTGAATCAAAGTTTTCAAAGTGTCAAAGTTTTCACTCACCATCATAGAACAATAAGGTGTCGCCACAATCAACAAAAATTTCGCTGACTTCAAATGTTATTCTGTTATCTGGGTCAGCCGCTTGAAAAAGCCAATTGCAGTTAGTATTCCTGAAAACATTTTTAAACAATATTTTATTAATAGATGTAGAAGAAAATAGGATTGTGCAGCAGGCTCATTCTATTTTGGCTCTAGAGCCGCGAAGTAAGGAGTTGATTACAACGTCGCGGGTTCGAATCCCACTGTGGGACGTGGAGACCGGACCTTCGGATAAGATCGTATAAACCAAGGTCCCGTGTCGCAGTAGGTGCTGGCACGAAAAATATCCCTCCCTGCTTAATGGCCCTGCGTGCCGAGTATAGGACAAAATTTGCAGCTCTCCATCGGCATATGGTGGCGTCTCCATATGAGTGAAAAATTCTTGAGAGGGAGTTAAACAATATACAATCAATCAATCATATATTTTGGTCCATCCCTACTGTACAAAAAAAAGTCAATACGAATAGATAAAAAAATAAAGGAAACAGTAAGAATGTACAAGAGATTGATTGTATGTTGTTGAACGTCCCACTCGAGGATTTTTCTCTTATATGTATAACTATTAATTGGAGTACTGCAAATTTTGTCGAAAATTTGACCTCACAAAAGTATGTGATTTTACAGTAGGTGGAAATTTTCTTTCATAGAATATTTCAAAATTAATCCAGAATTGGATTCCAAAATGCATAAGAAATAATTTTTTCCTGGAGATTCAAAACATTTTTGAGTCGGACCATCTTAGCCAGTCGGTTGGAAGAAGACAGCTAACCAATTTTTCAATGGTGGCCGTAATTACAAATAATCAGACTACAAACTACAAAGAATAATTAATGTACTTGCTATTGACGGAGGTAATTATAATTTGTTTACTAACCTATCTAATTATTGACTACTAATTAGATGTTTTACTTACTAGTAAAGTATATTGATGTTAAATATACTTAAAACTGATTTTATTAATTTAACTAACTTATAAGGTAACTTAAGTTGTTATGTTCAATACTACATATATATAACTAATTTACTAACAAATGAGGTTTACATGTATATTGTAAGGTAATAAGTTCAACTATTGAAGATGTAACGTAATAAGTAAACTTACGCTGGATATAAACCCGACGCAGGATACTTGAAAGATTCCAAAAGCTTATCTAATTGTATGGTAGTTGATGAACTGCACTGCAAATTAGTTGCTGGAAAATGAATTAAATAAGAAAGAAATGAAACATACACAAACAAAAAAACGAATAAGCAGATATGCAATCGAAATTTTTTTTCATGCATCTTTGTCTTTCTTTTTAATTCTGTTTCCCCTCATGTCTGGATAAGATAGTACAGTGTATATTACTTCTATAAAGCTTATTAAGCAAATGTTTGATTAATACACGTATTTTCTAATACACTAGTATGTTTGAACTTTCACAATTATTTTCTTTTATACACCTTACATTTAAGGACTTTCTATATGAATGATTCTATTTTCCTCTACATTATTTTTCAATGAAAATTGAAGGTAAGGAGATTTTGCAATTATTCGCTCCTCGCTAACACTATAAAAGTAAATTGCATTTTTTTTCAAGGTAACTACAGTATCAGCGTTTTCATTACATAAAATCAAAGTTTAAACAAAGTAAATTAAAGAATTTTCTATATATTTCAAATTGGTATTAAAGTTTTCCCCCAATTTTTACGGCCTTTTTTCCTGTCCCCTACTTGCAAGATGAACGGAGTCAACGTGCACGATAATTCTGTCTACATGTAAGCGAATTATGTGCACAAGCAAGTTACCAAACTAATTAGAGAATTTTATTTTAATGTGGGTAAATTAATTTTGATTCCCAGTATCTTAACATTTATTATGTTCATTGTGTGTCACAATGAACGTCCAAACATTGTTCCATATATATTTCAACATACGCCTTTTTGCTATGTTAATAACTTATTTAAATGCCATAACTGTGTTCCATAATATTTTATCTTTTCAGTAGAATTTACTGGACGGGTTTAAATCCCGTGCTGTTATTTGGTCACTTTGGGTGTAGCAATTGAGTAGACGTACTTCACTTGCTCGATTATTTCAGTAGTAATATTCACAAAGTATATTTGACCAGACTTTACATCTCTTCTGAGGTAAGTTTGTTTTATCAATTTAAAAATTTTATCTTATACAGTTTCCTGAAATGGCCAAGGACCTTAGTTCTTAGCTTTGTTGTAAACTACAAGATTGAGAAATGTTTGTATTGCTATCATTTCAAGTATGAGTATTATGCTACATCCATGTAATAGTATACGAGTATATTATAGTCTTATTATAGAATGTAGTAGCTACAATGTATGGTGTAAAGTATGTGTGTATTGTACACAGATATTTCATATATTGGAGTTTTGCAGTAAAATGCAGTACGCAGGGGACAGAAATATGCCAAATGAAAGAGTTGAGACCTTAATTCTTTTTAAAAAGAACACTAAAGTAAAGATGCATAACCGATGAGTGTGACAGCGTAATGATCTTGGTAAAGTATAGAATATTTTTGAGAAAGAAGATATCTCTTGTTAGACGATATCCTAACCAAAAAAGGAGGGAATTTAACGTATTTCCCAACTAATTCTTTTATCCGTTTTTGCAATTCAGAGAAAAAAACCCCCAAAATGTAGCAGTGAAAATGTTAAACGAAAGTAGGAGGGAAGATTAGACATTACGTAGTAGACATAATCCATAAGTAGCTTTGATTTCTTATAAATGTGTTCTCTGTTACAATGATTTTTTTTACTGATTTTCAGCGCAAAAATTACCGGAACAAATAATTTATAAGTTGCACTGATACTTTGTAGTACCAAATGGTCAAGTGGTTTCGAAAAAAGTTAACTAATGTAAGCCAATGAAATAAATGAACTATCGCTCTTTTTCTTGCTTCATATTCCAAAAAAAAAAAAAAAAAAAAAAAAAAAAAAAAAAAAAAACAAAAAAAAAAAAAAAAAAAAAAAAAAAAAAAAACAAACAAAATCAAAAGAAAAAAAAAAATTCCCCAATTTATCTTGAAATAAATCTCATAGTCCTTTTCTTAAATCTGTTTTACATGTATTCGTAAGAAAAGCGTATTTTTTTACTTACGATTTTGTGCATACACCATTCCTTCCAAGAGCAGTACTAGAACAACAAACACGGTTTTTCCAGAGATCATTTTCAACTATCAAAATAAAAGATCAATATTTTCATTTTAATAATTTTTGTATGTCCGTTTTATTACACCAATATCGAAAGTGTAATAAGAATATTTGAGTTGTACAAAATGGAAGAAAACTACTATTAACTACTATTAATATTTAATTCCTAAAATGTGTATACTGTAGACTTAAAAATTTGTAGGTACTGGAAATAAAATGTTAATACATCGTTAGATATTACAGTCTTAAATATGACAAACTAGGTACTAATAATATTTCATTTAGTAAATATTGAGTAGTGCAAAATATCAATTAAAGAAAAAGAAATTGATTTGGAAAAATTAAGAAAAGGTTTGTATACATACTGAAAATCTTGTATGACGAACTGTTATAAAGTCAAAAAAATATTCGAAGGAATGAAAATGATCAAGCGTAACACTCAAGTAAGGCAGGTATTCTCAAATGATATGGTAAGACTTATCCAAAATATGAGCTGTCATTTCGTTTATTATACATGACTGTATAATCAGAAGGGTATGTCAAGTTTTGACGGAAAAAGCCGAAAAATACCGAAAGATTTGACAAAAAAAAACAACTTTTTTCTACGCCTAAAGTTAACAAGTAACCGTGATTTTTTTTTTTACAGAATACGGTTATCTGAAACATAAATCTGAAATATTTAAAGAAGAATGTGATTAATTGATACAGTGATGTTTAGATGTTGCGACTTCATGCTTGGTGCGAAAGGCCGGATATTGTTGCAACAGTAACTAATACATCCTACATTCTGATCATTTTGTTTATCTTTTATTCAATCAGTCAATAAATAAATAAAATTGTAAACAACACATTTTTAAACTTGTTTATCTGTTAAGAATAAACATTTTCTTGACTTAAAATCATTCTGTTTAATTCATTTTTATATAAAAAAAATTCCAGTTGTTTATTTAAAATTCTTTCTATCGTTGCACACTTCCGTCATTTGAAAACACTTTTGGAATTAGAAAAAAAGGTCACTTTTAATAAAAGACTAAAATTTCACCTTCAAAATATTAATTAAAGATGGAACTTCGTCTACTAGTATGGAATGAAACTATCAGTAAACTAAACAAGAGAAATCGCATTGATTTGTTCTCTAGTATAGAAGATAAAATTACATGCAAATAAACATTAATTGAAAACATGAAAAAACATAAAGAAAACCTGAAGAATCGAAGTCAGACTTCTGTCTTCCTACAAAAAGTGCTATTTCAACTGAATAACTAAAATGCATATTCACAAGTTCATTAAGTCAAAATTTCTAGTTGTCAACCCCCCATAAAATACAATACACAATTGAATTTTCTTAGAGAGGGGGGGGGGGCTTTCGTTATATTTTTGAGGCATGGAGAGGCCGACGAGTTTATGACCAACACATAATTAAACTTTTCATATGCACTTCTACTAAACATTATCCAACCATGAAGTCATATTCCCACAAAACAACATATTTTCTTCAACTTCGACAAAATGAGCAGACAAAATTATGTGACTAAACTTACAAGTTGAAACAAATAGATAATTCAGGATAATGCAGCAGTTGAAATCAGATATGTAAGTTTATGTAAACCTTTTAAATTTTTCATGATTCAAAGTGTTGCATTTCACTACATAAAAGATAAATGTCGTTGAATTCTTGTGTATTGACATGCATTAATGTATTAATGTAATAAGATAAATAAAAGATACATTTTAAAAAGAAAAAAATCCTTTTTAATCAAATACTTTACAGTGAGTAATCGATAAACATTGCATATAAAGTTTTGTGATAAATACCAGGGTTGATCCGAAAGTAGTATCACTATTGCTATTAGATTTTTATACACTTACAACAGTTATGAAAACAACAAGATACTAGTATTACTTTTGGATAAAGGTTATTTAAACTTGCTGTGAAACATTCACAGACAGTTACTCATGTAAGCCGTCCTACAGGTTTAGACAGCAAGACATGCTACCAATCAAAGCAATGTTAGGTATACGTAGATACACACTGTCCTATAGACTTAGAAAGAAACATGATATATGAACCAAATAATAAAAAAAGTATGTTGCGAGAGAGAGAGAGAGAGAGAGAGAGAGAGAGAGAAAGTGACAGACATGCTGTTACAAAGACTTCTATAGAAAATAATTCTCTCATAAGGAAAAAGTTAAAGAGAAATCTGTTGTTTTCAAAGCTGCTGTTTTCACTGGCTTATAGATAAAACGCAATTAGTCATGAAGACTAATAGAGACGTATGAATGCAGTTTCAATGTGTGACAAAAAAATTCTGTCAAAGAAACAGACCGACTAACTGTCATACCAACTTTCAAATATCTATGAGGGTTGTCCGAAAAAGTCGTCGATAAGGAAACAGTTTAGTTTCTCTTCGCTAATTATTTCTTTTCATGTCATAGCAAAAGTAACATTTTATGATCAAGCATTTCAAGTTTCACGATGATATCACATTTAAAAAAAAATTATGAAAAAATAAAGAAAACATGTAAGTGTACATCGGCTCACGAAAGAAAGCGTAACTTACGTCTTTTATAACGTCCTTATCTCTTTTTCTGCTCCACATGCGTCTGCTAAACTGTTACAAAAATTTTTTAAAAGTAAAAAATCACTCTTGACGAAGGAATTAATTTAAATTCACTACTGTTCATTTTTTAGCAGAATAAAATTTCGAAATTAAGTCGAAAATCATCTTACATTGAAGGCACCAGAGAATACAAATTGTTTGACGATGTTCATGACCCAGAACTTTCCCCACTGTCTGCGTTAAACAAACATGTTGTGCTCTACTTCTTACATGCGGTAACTATTTTCTGTATAGAGGATATAGAGGAAGAACTATCATTGAATCTCATACCGTTCAAAAACAACTTCTCTATTAGAATCTAGTATGTAATGTCTCCTTTTCAGTCTCTGGTATATAAAACCATATCTTAAATAATCTAATACAACACCGTGCGCCGGTTACGCGTTTGACGACGTCATTTTCAATAAACTCCTTCCAACAACACTTCGAAAATCACAACACCAATTGACTGTTTTTTTTTTTATGCTATTGATATGAAAATTTGACGTGTTATTAGGATTTTGATTCTGGTTTCACTGATTTAAATTGAGTTCTATGTTTTACATAGTACCAAAGAAATAAAAGTAAATATAATAGTAATATGCGTAAATTATTGCGATTTTTCTTCATGCGCCGACAGACCGTATCAATCTTCATATTAATCGTCAAAATATTATCATCATGAAAGATATATATTTACGGATTCACAATTTTTAACATTGAATATATCATGTCTATGCAAAATTTGGAAAGTATTGGTTTCATGTTAACAAAGTTAAAAGCATTGTATACGACTTTTTGGGAGACAACCCTAGTATATCCTGACATGCAAACAAAAAATATTTTTTGTATGTTTTCCGTTTAAAATATTGTTATACAACGCCTCCCTCTGTAGGAGACTTTTTCCCTCATATGGAGACGCCACCACTTGTAGCAGCAATGTGTGACGGAAACAAAACACTCTGTCAAAGAAACAGACAGACAAACCGTCATAACAACTAGGACGCACATCCTGACATGCAAAATATTAAGGTTTTTTATGTCTGTTCATTGTTAAACCACACCTCTCGAGACTTTTTCATTAATACAGAGACTCCACCACTTGCAGGTGGAAAGCTGCATTATACCCATACTCGATACATTTTTGTCAATTGAGCAGTGAGAGATCTTTTTCGTGCCAACACCTCTTGTGACAGTAGACCTTCGTTTATACTGTCTCATTTAGTCGACGGAGGTCCAAGTCCAACAGTGGATTCGAACTTGAGACATAAGGTCATCTTCTTACTCTATAGAGCGAAAGTTTTAACAACTGCGCCATCCGGGCGACGACATGGGAACGAAATCAACATGCATGTTGTCACACAGACTACATGTACATGTATTAGAAATAAAGTCATGGAGCAATATGAGTCTTCTTTGTAATTCCATAGTTTTGGATGACAGGATATATGTCTTTAGGTCTTTGCGACATTTATCTGTCTCTAAAAGACTTTGTAACAGCATATATATATATATATATATATATATATATATATATATATATATATATATATATATATATATATATATATATATATATATATATATATATATATTATATCTATCTCTATGACTGTATAATCCCATGTTCGTACTTTTAATCATTCATTAAAGTAAAACACACAGTTCTATCTTTTTATGTTGAATTTGTTTTAGGAATGACTCTAAGTTTTGGCAAAATTATGCTAGTATAACCTGGATATGAAATTTTCCATGAATCCTGAGGACTGGAAATAAAAGGATTACATGGATACAAATGATCCAGTTGGTTGTCAGGGGGTATGTCCCTATACCAAACCGAATTGTACAGAAAAAAATGCATTCCTTTTTGGATATTAACCTATCAGAGGCTAGAATACAATCAAAATAAAATTATAAATCAATATTAAAATTCATCCAATTTACAACTTGAGATGCAAAACACGTCTACTCTTCTTCGTTTTCAAAGGATTGAAGAACATAGGGTTCATCTAAAATACGAAACATGGAAAATCGGCCAAAGGACAATGACCCGATAACGCCATATTTTCAGCAATTAAAAAGAAGTATGATAATAAGCCTGTATTTCCTCTGGCTCTCATGATTTTTTTTTCTGTTCAAGAAAGTGAGACAGTATGTCTGTCTTAATTTTGGTAAATTTTGTCATTATCTATTAGTTTTTGGTCAGCAGATCAGTGTTATTTTTTGTGTTTTATAACTGTGAGAATGTGTGGCAGCATATTTCATATAAGTAACTGAGAGAGAGTAGCACAACTATAATATATCGGTTATCGACTACCTTGGTGGATATGACTCATTTGTTTATATATATTATATATATATATATATATATATATATATATATATATATATATATATATATATATATATATATATATATATATATATATATATATATATTAGATTCTCTCAATTAACGCCACATGTACATGTCGATGTCAAGATACCCTACTTATCATTTTACGAAATCTTATCAAGAATTATGTTTTGTAATATTAATAAATACAATTTTCCTTAATCTTATTCGTGAAATAACAAGAAATTCATACCAGGGGAACAATGAATACAATATCACTGATAATCGTGATGAATTAGCAATTCATTTGAAAATTAAAAAAAACAAGGGTTTAGAAAAATAAAAGAGAGGAAGAGAAAGAGTGATGTCATCAGGAGCAAAAGAGGATTGTACAGCACAAAAATTGTGTAAAATTAAGTTGAACAATTTACTTGATGTGTAAATATCACACGATTTCTCATCTTAACAGCTATAGTGCCAAGTACATTAGAAATAATTCTTTGAAGC